CTGGTAAAATTTATTAAGTGAAATTATTTTCTGTTTTGCTTATTATTTGTTTTCACACAGATAGAAAATATACTGAGCACTTTAATAGTTAGTTTTTTAAATGTATTTAATGATAGTTTTAGTAAACTATCAACATGCATAACAAATAATCCAATATTTACTTTAATTGAAAGTAGCTTGTCATTGATAACAAAACGAGGTTATAAAAAGATGCACTATATGGAACTTAGTTAATTATTTGGTCAACAATAGCAACTAATATTTATAGATTTATTAATATAATTTCATTAGAATTTTCATTTTCTTTTTCTTGAACTCACACGAAATATTTTACTTTTTTGGATAGAAAAGTAATGTCGTATAAATATAAGTAATGTTCATCGATGGTCAATTATTTTTGTATAATTTTCAATAACTAATTATCTACCAGAGATTTTTCAAGGTTCAAAGCTTATATCGTTAGTCATCAGTCTTATTGATGTTGCTCTACATAACTTGGAAAAACATCAATAGCTATCTAAATACAGAAAGTGGTATTCAAGACTTCGATCGATATGAATGTATTCAAATTGCTGTGAAAGATTCCAATAGTTCTAAAAACACATTAATTTCTATGCAAATACTGAAATAGTTATAGAAAACTTAAATAGCTATGTAATTACTTAAATAGCTATGTATATGCTTAAGTAGCTATGGAAAACTTAAATAGCTATGCAAATTCTTAAATAACTAAGTAAATAGCTAAATAACTATAAAGAACCTAAATAGCTATGGAAAAACTTAAATAGCTGTATGTTTATTGAAAAAGTATCTCTTTTGAGAAGATACGCTCATTCATTTTATTTCTCATTCAGTTATAATATAAGAATAAAATTTACAAAAAAAACAGCCAAGTACAATCGTAGAGGCGTTTAGAACAATCACTAGTATAAGATCTTTCATTATCAGAGTATTGAGAATCAATCACATTTGATTTATTAAATAATTCAATACTCATGAGAAGAAATTACTCCACTTCCAGTATAAGTATTGCAGCTAGTCTCCTCCTTGTTTACTATTTCAAGCAAAAGGCATCGGAGCCAATGTATGATCAAAAACTTTAAAAAAAATAGTATGCTTCTTGATATTCGATATGATCTTTAAAACTAACTCATCCGTTTTGAAATGTAATAAATGAGAGAAGAAAAAGATTTCTATCATCAAAAAACAATGTCCACTCGTTTAAAATATTTATTTTGACTAATTCTGACTATCATCATCAACACTATCGGGTGCTTTATAACACATACTATCATTAATCATGTACACATGTTCTATATATTGAAAAAGCTCATACTTATTATCGTAGTCGATCTATTTCTCATGTTTTCTATTATTTTTATCAGGAAACATTCGAGTACATTGAGAGCAATACCAAATATCTTTTTTTTACGTAAGTATGACTCACAATAATTCATCCTCCTTGTTCTTCTTCTTTTTTTTTGCACGTACCTGAAAAGATTGAGTTCGTCTATTGTTCACTGAACAACGTTCAATGATTTTTTTTTAATCTTAAAATAAGTTTCTCTCAAGTTAAACATATTTAAGGCTCCGAACAGACTAAAAAAAAATAAAACAAATTAAGCAACGTGATTGGTCTATTTCGATTTAAATCGTCTTTTTGAGACGATTTATTCGTTGATTCAGTTTTAATTCGCTTTGAATTAGTCGGTCTGTTCGGGGCCTAAATCCAACAAATTACATTCAAGAGTGAACATATTTGATACATTCTTTCATCCGATTAGTTGACCTATCTATTTCTTTTTATAAAAACATCCTTTGTTAAAATAACTGAACATCAATGATTGGTCCTTCTTTACACAATGTCCGTCACTCATAACTTTTCTATACGTGTGCTTTAATGTCAGTCAGACACATTATAACTACAATGAACTGTTTGATAAGTATGATTATCTAAGTATTTTATTAGTATCATTTATTTATTTTCATTGTTTTTGTATAGATGACAATGTTCAACTGCTTGATTTACCTGATGAGTTAATTTTAATGATCATGAATAAAGTCAAACCTAAAGTGTTATTACTTTGTTCTATTATTGCTCTTGGTAATAATCGTTTGGAACAACTTGCACTTGAGAAATGTCATTCAATCGATTTAACTATTGATTATTTTCAATCACTGTATGAATCACTCATGACACGGTTTTATTCACATATTATGTATCGTATTATCAATAATATTCAATCATTGACACTCAATATTCGACAAATTCCTGATATTGTCACTTATGTTGAAAAAAACTCTAATGGAATTCTTCCAAATTTGACACATCTGAAGATAATGATTGGTAGACAATCTCATCGAACAGGCACTCCTTATACATTAGATGCATCAAGTAAACTATTAAGAATTTTTTTTAAAGTTGTATTTAAATACTACTGTAGTTCATGTTCTGCATTGAAAATAAGGCATATTCTATGACTCGAGAATTTAAAAAACGTTTTCGTATTTTATGGAAAAAAAATCGATACTACGCGATATATATGCAATATCGACAGTTTAGAGTAATGAATGAGAAACTCACTATATATTGTTTTTTCTGTACTAAGGCATGTTAAAGTTTGTCAGAAAAATGATAGTTGAGAGAGATATGAAAAAGTATTTTTCTTCACTTAATATTATGAGAGGCCAAAGACTAAATTGAAAAATATAATATTGCATCACTCGAATACATATATGTATGTATCTATTTTTAGGCATGTTAAAGTTTGTCAGAAAAATGATAGTTGAGAGAGATATGAAAAAGTATTTTTCT